GTAGGAATGATCGACTCATGGTCCTGACAAAGTGTTGTTATTTTTCAGGTCAATCAGAAATCCAATATGGCCACCATGGCCGCCATTTTGAAAAACTATTTCAAACTTAAAGTCAAGTTCTGCTAGGCCGATTGATTTGAAACTTTGTAGGAATGATTGACCCATGGTCCTGACAAAGTGTTGTTATTTTTGGGTCGATAAGAAATCCAATATGGCCACCACGGCTGCCATTTCGAAAATACTATTTCAAACTTAAAGTAAAGTTCTGCTGGGCAGATTGAACTGAGAGTTGGTAGGAATGATAAGCTCATGGTCCTGACAAAGTGTTGTTATTTTTCAGGTCAATCAGAAATACAATTTGGCTGCCATGGCCGCTATTTTGTAAATACATATTTCAAACTTAAAAACAAGTTCTAATAGGCCGATCTCACTTAAAATCCGTCTAGGAATGATCAGCTCATGGTCCGGACAAAGTTAAGTTAACATTATACTTAACCTTTTTTTACTCAAATTGGTACATATTTTAACAACAAAAATAAATACTGTAGTACTCAGGTGACCGTTAATGCCCATGGGCCTCTTGTTTACACATTAGATTCATTTCTGAATGTATAAATGCTATGATACAGAAGTAACAAGAATAATCTTGTTTTCGAATTGATACATTTTCACATTTAGAAAAAAAAATGATAGTCAGAAGATCTGGTATCCCTTTATGTATATATTTCCCAGCAGTAGAGTTGTGCTTCAACATAGAGACATATCAAAATCTATCATCAGTCATTGTAAAAGATATATAGATTTCCTGTAATAAGCCTATAAAACCAACACAAAAGATATATAGATTTCCTGTAATAAGCCTATAAAACCAACACAAAAGATATATAGATTTCCTGTAATAAGCCTATAAAACCAACACAAAAGATATATAGATTTCCTGTAATAAGCCTATAAAACCAACACAAAAGATATATAGATTTCCTGTAATAAGCCTATAAAACCAACACAAAAGATATATAGATTTCCTGTAATAAGCCTATAAAACCAACACAAAAGATATATAGATTTCCTGTAATAAGCCTATAAAACCAACACAAAAGATATATAGATTTCCTGTAATAAGCCTATAAAACCAACACAAAAGATATATAGATTTCCTGTAATAAGCCTATAAAACCAACACAAAAGATATATAGATTTCCTGTAATAAGCCTATAAAACCAACACAAAAGATATATAGATTTCCTGTAATAAGCCTATAAAACCAACACAAAAGATATATAGATTTCCTGT